CTCTGTCTGTCGCGGGTACATTGAACGCGCTGCTGTTCCCGCAACACGAGCAGAATCGTCGACGAACGAAACACACGGTCGACGAATAAAAAGGAAAGAAAAAAAAAATGAAAAGCGTCGAAGATTATTATCGGTTCGGCCACCCCGATATCATCCACGAGCTCTGTCCCGCCACCGCGGACAGAAATATAATACGGTTGGCCGCAATTCGTCGTGTGTTTTCGTGCCAACTACTATATATACATATAGATATACACTACTGTTCAAAAGTTTCGTAGCGGTTACGTACAATGTCAAAACTACAAGTTACAGATTTCTTTTAATAACAAAACCATCTTCAAGTAAGTTTTGCCCCCTGAAAATGACCTGAAATGAATATTCTTTATCGACATTTTTCCATTCTACTTTAAAATACAACCGTGAATGACCATTAGGCAAAGAAATGTAAATTATAAATTTAAAGTTATTAAATGTTTCTAAATCATAGTCTAATCTAGTCATTCACTGGTTGGTTTACCCTACTAAACTTTCAAGTCGATGTTAAATAACAATAAAAATAACTTAAATCGAATAAGTGGTAACTTTTTTTGTACGCTACTGTATATACATACATACAATACATATGTCAGGTTCTGTGAACTGCGGCTACCCGACAAATCGCTGGGAACCACCGATTTCATTTCGAGCGTGTATCCGAGAATCGGGCGTGCTCGCCTGATTCGCAGTCCGTGCGCGTTAGAAAAAGTCTATTTGCACATGTATGTATGTACCGGTTCGGTACGGACGAGCACGCCTCCGTAGGACCGTTAAACACGGTGAAAATTTTACGAAGAAAGCACACCACCGGATAATAGGTCAGCCGGCGAGCTGCCTTCTCTCTCTCTCTCTCTCTCTCTCTCTCTCTCTCTCTCTTCTCCTGGGGCCTGTGTGTGCACGTTTATTGCCGCGTGGAACGATCGACGAGCGGCCGATTATGACGCCAACGACGTTTAAAAAATTGACGATTCGCAATGAATCGTTACGAACGGTATCGTAACGCGCTGGTCATAATAGCGTTACGACCTTATGTAACAAGTTCATAAGTTGAACTGTATATATGCAATACGGATGCACAGAGGGTGTTCAAACCAGATTCTTTTACTTGGCATGAAATTAATGACGGGCAGCTTGTTTCTGGGCTCCAGAGGAATCGCTTATTTTGCGTAGTATGACACTATAACAAATATTAGGTATACAAATTAATTCGTAGCCCTCTTTCTATAGACTTGTTTATTTACGAAAAGCTACAGTTTAACTTCGAAAATATTCCACTTCACGTTCTATATACACATGTACGCCATTTCTCAGATAGTTGGCGAATCCCCCCTCGAAAAAAGGATCCCGGTTTCGAGTTAATAATTAATCGTGGGGGCCACGGATTAATTTGTATACCTAATATATTAAAGTTCTATCTCGATAATATCAAAAATCATTTTAAAAAACCTGCCCGTCTTCTATAGAAGTTCTGAACCATTTCGTTTGATAGCAAGTGCAACCGTATTATTCGGACACAGATCTCTCAAGTTCTAACCTAACCTGGTACATGTTTATAGTAGCCAGTCTCTCATCTTCAGCATTTCAATCGACTAACAATTCTGTTTTTTCCCATCTTCTTTCTCCTCTGTTCGTCTTCCTCGTGTAATTTCGTCGGAAATATTTTAGACGAGACCCGCGGCGATGAAATTCGACCGTTACCGTTGACCATACAAGGCACATATACGTATACATATGTATGTATGCCCATCGATCACAAAAACCCGCGGCGTAGCTGACACGAACGCGGTGTGTACGTGCATCAGTCGAACGTGACACGTTGGAATAACCCTGCACAATCGTGCTCTGGAATCGGCGAGTTCGTCGAAGATCGACCGGAAGAAAGAGCGCAACGATCATTCCGGTTTGCCATTTGGAGGAGACATGCACGCACGGTAGGGCATCGTCGCGTTCAACGTGTAAACGTTTTCGTTTATAAAATGGGTTATTCTTCGCGGAAATTTCTTGAACGCGCGAATATAAATGCTCGGTGGATATCTGATCGTCACGGTTTCCGCACCGTTGCGGGTAAATAAGTGTTTTACGGTTTTTAGCGTTTTGTATACACCTGACTCGACAATGAAACTCTTATTTCTAGGCGGGTTCCGTCCGGCGTGTATCCTTTTCACACTTTGACTGCCACGTCACCCAAATATGGGTGACACGCACATTGCAAAGAGGCTAGATTATTTAAATCTAAACTTTACAGAATTTTTGCGAAAAATTTAATAATTAAATGTATATATTTTCGACGATTTATGGCTGTAAAAACCAAATAACGCGTGTCTGGCTACGTATGGCCTTTTTCACTGTGGCAGTCAACGTATTAAATCGAGACTATCGATAAGTCCCACCATACGCACGCTCACCTCATTCACTAAAATTAGAGAGCGTTAATTCCACGTGCAGATCGTAGCGTATTTATAAATTCATCGCCACCGGAGCACACGCGTTGGGTGTTACGGTCAGGTTCGATCGATGGGCAATTCCAATCGGTAAACGAACCGCGGTTGATACGAAGTTTCATGAAAATTCCGAGTCAGCGAGAAAACGAACATCGAAATTCCGTGTTGGTCGCACAGAACGTCTGAAAAAATGCATATGTCCTCGCGAAATACAATCATGCAATCTTTCTGTGTACCCACTCCTATTCTACCCCTCCATCAAAGATGACTATGTGTCGCAGTCCGGCTGATCATGACGGCGCCAAACTACTTTTTCTGCCGTGACAGACCCCGACCACTCGCCACACACAGTCAGTCAACTCCCGTCACCCTCTAAAATTCTTCCAATGTTGTGTTTATTCCCACAAACAAAAACGCATCCTAATCGCCCAGCTTCGCGATAAACAATATACATACAAAGATAATCGAGACAATTCATCTTTAAGGGATGCATTCGAAGTTCCAGCAACAGTTGTTGACAAACCAACTAGTATACCGTGTTCTTGGCGCAAAATAATACCCGATTATCCCCCTCCCAAAATAACTGAATCTTCGTCCATCGACTTCACGGTACGAACAAAGAATCAACTCGATTATTGTCTGTCGACCAGCAACTCACTTTGGCCATCGTGTCGTCGTGGGTGGGTCCTAGAGATCCCTCCGAGCCGAGACACACGGATTCCGGTGGCTGGCGCGGCAACGGCTGCGGTGGCTGCAGTTCCTTGACATATGTCGCGTTTCGTGTAACCGCCGCGACGAACAACGAGACGACGCTCGCATTCCCTACCGAAGTTGATACGCTTTTACCCCCCGCGCGCGGCTACGCTACTTTTTCGTACGGCGGCCCGTGTACAGCACACGTTCGCGGGTGACGGCGGCAACGGCGACACGTCGATCCGCTTGCGGATGCGAGGCCTCTCCACACACGGCAGCGACGCTACCCGGACGCCGGCGTCGCCGTGAACGATGTTATTGATCGGCGCCGTAGCGGAGGCGTCGCTGCCCGCGCGGAAACGGGAGAAGGGGGTGCGAAAATCACCGACGGTGACGAAGAAGAGACACAGACAGTGTGTGTGGCTCGAGAGGTGGCTGCCGCGCCGGTAGAGAGATGGAAATGACCAACCGTAGCGCCACCGCCGAAAATCATTCTGGGGAGCACATCACCGACTCATCTGGTCCCTCCCTTTTCTCCCGTTGCAACCGGACATCCCGCATGCACGCTAGAGAGATACGCATATAGCGTGTGGTCGCTTCAGTCGATCCGTGGGCCAATGGGACGAGAATTAGCAGACACTAGCTGTCGAGGGATTTCGTTGTCTCGTTCAAGTTTGTTTTTCTGGAGACTCTATTTCAGTTCCGTGTTTCTCTTGTTCCCAATTCGATATCTATGCTAATTGAAGTCTATTGTCTTCCTGGTGGCATAATAATCATGATCCGTTATCGGTATTCCCTTTCTGGGATCGCTAAAACAAAATAATATATACAGAAGTCGTTTGTCACGGTAACGCTGTAGATATCGGTTTCTATTTAGATATAATGACCTTGATCTTTTTGAGATACTTGTTCGATTCTTCTTTATCGATCTGCGTTTAGAAGTAAACGCAAGTAATTGTAGAAGGCGTTGCTGGAATCTCGGCGCTATTTGTTTTGTTCTGTTTAATCTGTTAACCTCAAAGAAGATGAGTTTACTTGTTCATCGACTTTTTTTTGTTTTTAATTACCTTTAAAGGGTCTCTACGTTCAATCGTTTATTCACATTGTTCTTTCGTTCATTTTTAATTACGCCAATTGTGGCATTGATGAACGAAATCTTGCCCTGTTAAGGGTATCCGGAAGAGCTGCAGTCTGCTGATGAAGTATCCGGGATATACGTTGAGTTGACCATCTCATTCCAGCGAAATTCTTCTAGCTTCTGTAATATCCATTTCGCTACGTACGAAGAAACATTCCAAGAATCATTTCAGCCGGTGCAATTGAGTTCAAATACATATGGCTCCTTTCATATCTCACCGAACGCTTAAGAGATTCTTACTTAGGTCGAAAGTTGGTTTTCTTGAATCCTTGATTAAAATTTTCTTCGAACAACTCGAGCGCAACACAGCATTACAAATTATATCTTTCAAGATCGTTTACATACATTAGTTACTTAGGTTATATTCTTCGATAATTATCGATATCTTCGATGTACTTTCGGTTTGTATTACATAAGGGACGGCCTATTAAAACTCAGTGTACATACGCAGTGTCAGTAAGCACGTCGTTAATGTTTAATGACAGAACGATCTCTTACACCTAAACCTGAATCATTTATGAATATCATAAAATGATTTAAATTGTAAAATTCGTTACGGTTTTTATGTGGTTCAAGTACTCGTACTTGTTGATCGGACGTACGCTTCGAGGCACCGGCAAGGCCGTAAGAATGTCGAACAAATAAGCATACTTTGCAATTCCTTTATGCAAATAATATCGATAAAAACTTACCGGGTCACTGTCCATCTATGCTGACATCAACAATTTGAATTCCGAGACACGATTACTGTTTACTTATTAACAACACTATATTACTTGTACAACAACACAGCATACCGGTATGACAGCATCCTAAGGAAAGTCCAGTGTCCGTTGACACTTTGAAATTAACGAATCCATTAGATATGCGCAGTAAATAGACCAATGACATTAGATCGCGTAACAACCAATAGTAACGTTTCTGAAGAAACGCGCTACTTTTAACGGAATTCAAATTGTACGTAAGTACATAACTGAAATCGATCGATCGATCGATCGATAATCGGTGCTCTTAACCCTCTGTTTCGTTTGTAACTGAAACAAAACAGTGTACAAATAGAATTCTGTTGAAAAAATACGAGGAAGTGTTCGAATAACAAAATTACGAGTCGTTTTTCGTTGCACATAGATACACAGGTAGGATATATTTTTTATTTATATTCGGTGGCTACACAACGCTACGATTACCAGAAATGCAGATACAATAGCGGCAAAACGAAGGATTTTTTTTAACGTCGTCAAGGCCCCATTCGTTCTGTCTTGAGGAACGGCCGACGGAAAACGAGAGCAGACCTCTTACGATATATTCTAATGTGTATTCAAAGTCTCCGTATTTCGATGACTTCCGTAATCTTATAACGATAATAAAAGCCGTGGAGAGATATCGTGACACCCATTGCTTCGCGAAACTATACCTGGTTCTGTCGCACTACTGATCGTGTTGAACGATACCAAAGAGGCTGTTTTACAACGTTCCGAACGATAAACATTATCGCGTCGACCGGGAGGGGAGGGGAACACGATAGGGCGCTGCTCCCGATTGGTTCTTCGTCGTATCGTAGACGCTCCGTCGACAATCTTTATAGTTTTACAATCAAAATTACACAGCACGATATCAGAGCTCGTGACAGGTATACTACGTTTCTTGTCGCAGTCGTTCGAGAATAATATACAGAGGCGACACTGGCATCCAAAGAAACGCAAACGAAAGTAGCGAAGAGAAAGCCTGCAGCTATTTCGGGCTTTAAACGATAACGTGGAATGGATTTTGAAGATGTGCTTGTTCATTTTTATACAGCTACAAACGTTTTTTTTTATTTACATTGACTGACATCTAAGACGATCAGAATACCCTCCCCGTTTCCAAAATCGCCATTTGTCAATAGTTGGCTTCGCATGCATTTCCCGTATATAAGGCGTGTGTACAATGTAAAAGGCATCCAAGGCACAACCTCTGGGCGGCACGTACTCGAATGTATATATATATATAACTACGGTGTAACGTTAACAAGGCTTTCTCTCAATTAGCAGTCTGAAAAAACGGTAGCAATTAAAGCGGCTGCACTGGGCGACTTGGAAACGGGACTCTCCTGATGCACGGTGCTTCCATTAACAAAAAAACGAAGAAGTAAAAGCTTTAGTGTGTAGAGATATTACATGTGTAAACTATTTATACATACATCCTGCGTTAAAGCGTTGTGCTCGTTACACGTGCGTACAAGCTCGATATACCTAAACAACATTAAACTCGCATATCCGTTTCGACCGGCGTACAATTGGTTTAGAAAGCTTCAACATCTATTACAATCTAAAATTGATCTGAAAAGTATATTCATCCGTTATTTAAGTTAGGCAGACTTCACACACACACATACACATACACACGCGCGCGCGCACACACACAGGTGATCACGAAGGGGTAAATATGGATACTCTTCGCATTCCTGGCTGAACAGTTTTATTCGTTGTGCAAATGGTCGTCTTTTCTCTCTTTCTCGTGGATGGATTATTGTCGTGTACTTCTGTCTGATTTGCACTCGCGGAATCCAAATATTTGTTACAATTCGATAAAGAACATTCGTCGTCGTCATCGTCGTCGTTGATCACCCACACGCAATTTGCTAAATTTGGTAGCAAAGAATCACAGCTAGGTACATCGACCAAAAATATAAGTAACAGTAAGCGGCAGTGTGACTTCTGTTCCACAGTTCTCTCAGAATACTCTTAGGTAGCGTTTATGTATTCCGTATACCTTCTTCATGCTTATCATTGAAATATAAGTAGGATATACATAAAAAAGAAATGAAGTAATTTAATGAATAGTTTATGAGCCGATCGGCAAAGCCAGAAGATCATTCGAATATAAATCCGTGTTACGGGTATCGCAGTATATATAAACCCTGTGTAAAGAGATTTATGCATAATCAGTAACACCTGTGTATCTTAATGCATAAATTAAACGGGGAACATTGTGTGTACGCGGAACAATTATATATTACGAAACTAACGTTTTCTTCCATAAATAGATAAAAAGACGGACAATATTTTTTGATTTCGCTTAATCTCAATTAAATATTCATGTGACCTTTTTAGCTCGTTACCGAATGTACGTGACATGCCATTCTCATAATATTTTGTGCGTTCTTCGAAGAACATGTACACTTTTTTTTTGCCATCGAATACTTTGTTTTCTTTTACATACACTTCAGACTTATTGATTGAAAAATCCGATATTATCTGTCGATGATTTTGAGGATCCACTACAACTCGTCGTAGCTTGTGTAAAAACCGTCACATACATACGTTTTTGGCACTTTTCAGAATTCTACTCATAAAATTTCCACCCGTTTTTGTACCAAACATAATACCAACGCCATATAATTAGTATACTTTCTACATCAACATTCATTAACAGTCTGAAACTTGTGAACACTTCTGAAAAGTGCTGAGAGCCCACTACATAATTCCTTATATTACTCTTGAAATCGAACCGAGTCGCAAGTAGATGACTCTATGTTAGTTGTCACATTAGTTTCTTATAAGGCTACATCCAAAGGCTTACATTACACGAATGTTAGAGAACGTTGCACAAAAAAATATCCTTCATAGGCATTATCAGAGTTAATATTCCAACACGTCATCGGATGCAGTTAACTTTCAAACGTCAACGTGAGATCAGCATCTGATGTCTATATTGAAACATTAGTTGCATTAGTAAAATCGAAATTAATTACACTTAAATTATAGTCTTTAGTAGTAATAAATTTAAATAGTCTAAGGCTTGTTTAGGCATAAGTCAGATGCTTCAAAAGCACGCGTACTGTTTGCTTTAAAACTGTAAATCTTAAAAATCTTACAATCGTCGAAATCTAAATAATTTGTCTTTGTCTATTGGTAAACGCATATTTTTTTTTCGTTTGTTTCGTAGCAGTTGTTTTGTTCAATTGTAAATCTCAAAACAATTTAATGAAGCATTCATGGTACAGCATTAGCAAATGTCTCCACAACAATTGTCCATATAAAATAAAACTTTAGAAATACTTGAATAGATTTGAAAAATATGATTTTTCATGTACATATATATACGTACGACATTATATTTTTACTAGAATTCTCTCCCTATGTAACAGCCGAAGATTGTACAGTTTTTGTCTGTACACTGTGATCTCTGAAATTTTTATATTGAGGATCACATTCAATACTTATTGACTTTTGCAATCCTTTATTTTCATAAAAATTATATTAGCAACTTTCTTTTTTCATTATGCTGACACGAGATAAGTTCTCCCATTAGAACAGCATTCTCTCACTTACCACTTTCATTATTCTTTCTGAAATCTCTTATGTTGTCTATATTACTATCGTACTATGTAATGTTAAAATCCGTTCTTAAATCATCAGGTTTCTTTTTTACATTTCACTATTTTCTTTTTTTGCTCCTAGCAATGAAACACAATGCACGAATTATGACACAGAACTTATAGCATTGTGAGGAGAACCCATTTGTGTTAGCACTTTATCCAGCCACTGTAACGGTCCGTGTAAGTGTGCCTCTATCCAACATGGAGTGGATGTAACATCTTGGCGATGATATTCAGCTCCCCATCCTTTAACAAAGGACATTCTAAAAAAAATCGAATGCCTGTTATTATTATTTGTACTCCCGAATATGAATTCTTCAACTTACTCTTAACTCTCACCTTATAGTACACATTTTTGTTAATTCATAGACAGCTTCAAAACCGTGATTAACACTTTGCGAGAGCAGCTGAGCAAACTCCTGGTTATTAAATATCTTTAATGAACATCCTGGTGGAATCTTACAAACAGTACTAGGATGAAATCCATGATGATGATTACAATTTCTAGACTGCACAAATATAGCAGAATCAGAAAGACATTCTGCGTACACTTCGCCAGCTACATAATACAGATGCACTCCTTTCCCTATATGTCTTCTTGTATTCTCGATAGTAGAATTTCTATTTACATTAGATAACTGCCCAAGACAAAAACGATCAGAATTGTTGCTTGGATTTGTAAAGCCATCCACAATAACAGAATGGGAATGACAATGAAAGACTTCGCCTACTCTGCAGTTTAATTCATAATAAGCAATAGAGGCCCAGTAAGGTGGTTCTTGGTAACACACTGGAGCTACTTCAGGTGAGCCACTTGTATCCATTGCTACTGTATCGGGTGGAGGTGACTGCCCAGGTTGCGAACCATCTTCTGGTGGAGAGTATGCAGGAGGTGGAGTTTCTGGTAATCCATTAGTACCGTAAGGACTCTGTGGGTTTGGTGATGTCGTGCTCCCCGGACTTGGAACAGAGCCAACAGAAGAGATAGGTGATGTTGGATTTACACCTCCAGCGGATCCAGCAGTAAATCCACTGGAAGAATAAGATACATTGTGTGGCATTGTAGGCTCTGATATTTGTTGAAACGGCAACAGTGAATGTCCAGGGGCATATTCCGAGTGTCTAGGAACCAGTACTGGTGGTAGCACTGGACTCTCCACTCTTTTGTAATGGTAAGGATTAATGCAAACTTCCTTCTGTTTTGCAGAGAAAGGGTATTGGCACAATTCTAATGGCTTCAACTCATGATGCGATTGCAAATCAGGCCATCTCCATACTCTACAATAAATTACATGTGGCAAACCCTTACGATGTGATACTTGTAACCTGCCATCTAAACTTCGTGGAATTGTCACACATTTGCTGGGTGTTCCTGGACAACTCAATGCACGCTCTAATTCTTCTATTGCACCTTTTCTTTTCTTCAACTTCTTTACTAAGGAATCGACTGCCTTTTCGGCCCATTTCTCCTCTTCATCGCCTTGTTTCCACCCAAGCAACTTTTTCACAGCAGGGCTAGTAAATGAAAATAAACTGTTCAATGAAGACATAGGTCCAGAGCTTGACGATCCCTCTTCATCATCCATGTTAAGAATACTGTAATATGTGAACTATAAACTGTATTTGTGTTCCAAAACAACCTGCAATTCAAAATAATCTGTCAAATTCCCTAGATTTAGAATTGCTTAATACAGTCAACACAAATGTCTCTTATACATCTGTTACTATTGCAAAAATAAAAAAATAATGCACAATTTACTCTTCGACTTTCAAGATTACTTTAATTCGGCTTATAAAGATATTAATAACACTGCTCGTATGAAGAAATAAGTATTGTGATGCTTGTGAGGTTAGATATTACTAAAATTTAGTACACGATTCACGTAGAGCACAAAACATACAGTGTAACAGAAATATACGATTCATGTGCTTAGATGAAGAGAATGAAAGTTAAAAAGAAATAAATTGCGTGCACACATACATACGTGAATTGCTTAGCGATCCAGCATTGTTTTTACTACAGTCTCCCACTCCCGTTACCACATTCTTGACGCCAACCTCTCGCCATCACAATCCAAAAGAAGTATCCGCGAGTTTATCGATTCCACGTCTTGACTTTATCGTGCTCTTAATGACAACAGTTCTACGAACACGATAAACATCTAAGCAAATTTTCTTGTAATACAGTATAGCCACTCGCAGCGTTCATAATCTCTCTCTTTCTCTCTCTCTCTTCTTCTTTATCTTCTCTCAGTCTCTCAGTCCAACTCTTTCGCTCGTTCCTGTGGCGGAGTCAGGGTATTCGCAATGAGCAATAGTTTCACATAGAACATTCAGAATTTTAGCCAGTATTTGTAAGCTTCTTCGAGTACTCACCGGAATTGAACATCTAAAGATTATTCTGATGTAGCGAGACTGTTTGACGAGGGCTTTATTCTTTTCATATATGTTGTATGCAGTATCGACTACAAACATTTATCTGTTGAAAGAACGAAATGTCGTGTAACAGTATTATGGCGTTGCAGGAACATCATGGCGCCGTGTTTACGAAGCCGAACAACAGGAGAACCTTACACTTTAATGCGAAATTGCGTCCGTTTATGATTTTCAACCTTCACGAGGCGTTCTACGCTTTCGTCGGTGGTTAATTTCTCTTCGTTGCTTTGTATCTGTTAGACGAACATGATTTATGTATGCGTTTACGTACGGCGATAATATGCACTCATCGCGCTACGCAACGACAATGTATTCGACGATAAGGGCTGATCGTAGATGACTCACGTGAAAAAAATGGTACATCAGGAATTATCATCGTAGTTCAATGCAACAAGAAAAATGTTATTATGTATTCTGAAAAACATTTTCCTCGTACACAACATCAGTTCTAATTAATTATCGTCATTAATAAAATTCTTTCGTAAAATTCGCGTCTCGTTAGATCGATCAGAGTAAAATCCAAGCTGTGATTGGTACGACCTGAATGAGGAAATGGAGGGAGATTTGATTGTTTTAATTATCGGTTGTAACTATAAATATAAAAAACATTGTATTTAAATAATAAAAAGATATACAATCATACAGAATTTTGTACACATACGTTTTCACTAATACACGTACTGTTTCGCCAATGCTCTTAAAAATTTTGCCTTCCGAATGTTCGCTGCTTCCCGTTGTATTTCCTCGTTATTATTCGAATTTAATTCCAGGAGACCAATTACTTTAATCTAAAATAATATAACTATGTATAAATAGAATGTTTTGTTTTTAAATAAATGGATTATTGAAAAATTTCAATGGTTTCGTAATATTCATTTTCGTAGGACCTCATTACTCTTTTCGTATACAATGTTACTGACCGCTAGCTGTTTCCTATGATGTTCACCGCGTTTAGTGTGCAAATGTATCAGATACTCGAGTATTGTCGTATCCCAAATACAATGATAGTATGCATCCATGGCGTCAGCTGGCGCACAACTTTTTTGATCGCTTGCTGCCATTTTAAACGCTAAAGAATAATCTACTTCCTCCAAAAACTGACACAAAACGGCGGCTTGAGTATAACATTGTAAATGAGCGCAACACTTAATCATGCGTCTATAAACGAGATCATCGATCTGTAGTCGCGGTACTGGTTGACTAAACAAATCACTAGCCACCATAATAGCTTCTAAATAATACTTCATCGCACTCTCGTAATACCCTAAAACTGAACATACTAAATTAATACGACTTTTCTTCAATACCAAATGTATTTACTGCGGCTTCAACACGAACCAAAATTAAGATCCCCCATCAATCTCAACCAAGGAACATTACTTGGATAATATTTCAAAGCTTGTGTCAACAGTTGAAACAATAATTCTCCTATGGTCCTAATGTTATACGAGTTGGCACTGCAAAACGAGCATGTATTATTACTTATCAGATAATATGACTATTAGGATACATGAAAACCTACTTTGGTACACCCGCTGGCCAAAGAGAAAGATACTGCGTGTGTAATTCAAGGCTAGATTCATCGCGTAAAACGTTCCGCAAACGTGCCAATAATGAGATGACGACAGTAAGAACCATAGGTTCACGCAGTCTACTGAGAGTACTTCCTATGCTGACAACAACGTCTCTCGAAGCGCTACCAGTGGTTCCACTATTTCCACTATTACTGCGTTTCTGCGGTTGATCTCTGGTAGGTCCAAACGCAGCTAGAACTACAAAAGAATCTACGTAATATTACATCGAAATTTATAATATACACGGTTACGTAATGTTTATAAGACGAACCCATGTCCCATGCTTCCCTAGGAAACTTCCGTCCGCCTTTATACTTAACAATGTCTTGACAAACGCTACTAATAGCTGCCGCGAACTCAGTGTAACTCCAACGTTTTTCTAAACTTGTAAGATAGTCCCATTCAGTCATGTTTAAAAGAAAGACGGTGCAATACTCAATGATTTCTTGCCGTGGAATAACTTGATCCGTTGCTTGTAATGCTCCAAGGCATTGTTTACATCTTGTAACTAGACTTTGTGTATCGCCTATAATATATTTTACTTTGTAATTGTTTCAATTACTGTAAGAAAACTTTAATTTATTGCTTACATATATTTGTCACTGGCCAAACATGAAGACATCTCCATATCTCAATAAGAAGACATTCCCAATTTACTAGTTTACATAGCTTAAATATTAACGTGTTCCCACTTTGAGAATGTTGCTGTCCTTCCTTTTCCAGCACAGTTAAAATCTCTATTGCACCTTCAAAATCTTTAGACATTACCAACTCTCTGCTTTTGGCAAGCAGTACGTATGAATAATCTTGAAGAAAACCCCTAGGAAGAGACATTACGACACTTTGTAAGGGAATAGGTAATTCCCAACAACTGTTTACATGCCATAAAGGCTTCATTCGATGTTTCCCATCCAAATGTAATAAAATCTCATGAATTTCAGTGGTGTTGTACGACTGTATTAACCTCTGTTCTAATTCGAACATTTCTATTCTTGTACTCTCTGGAATTGAAAGTATTTATTATCATGCAATAATTTCATTTTTAATTTGATACTTAATTGAGATACATGTAAGTACTAACGGGTGTATGTTACTAATGATACACCCCAATCGTTTTTCAGCAACAGATCTGGTACTTCTAGATCTTCGATAGCGACTGATTTTCTAATTTCATCCAATTCCTTTTCTTCGAACAATGCTATATATGTAGAATCGCCAAGTACTTTCGAAGCAATTCCATCAATATTGCTGGTATGTATAAGATATAGAAAATAACGAGAAATGCGTTTTTTATCAAGAACAGATGCTTTTTCCAAAACATTACTAAGAGCCTAAAATGATTTCAGCATAGTACAAATAATGAAGAAATAAATGTAAGTTAAACAAAATAAAAGAAAAGATTATTCTACCCAGAAGAACACATCAACTCCTTTAGTGCCAGCTGCTCTTATTTCGGTCACATAATCACCGAGAATGATACTACCATCTAAGATTTTCCTAACTAAATTTAAACACTGAATTTGAAGTAAAAGATCACGGGCTACTACAAGCTTTCTATTAACAGATCCTCCTTGTATATCAAGTTCCAAGTTGTGTCTATAAACTTGAGGAATTTCTCTTGAAATGTTATCAGCCTGTAAGATTTGCAATATATTCTGCAACAAAGGTACATTATTAATATTTCAGGTACAAATATTTTTTTTGCTGGTTTCAAGGCATTCACCGTATATTGATCTTTAATTGATGTCTGTAATTGTTGAGTGAGACTTGGAGCAACTCCTTCTAGAGGTACTTCACATGCTAAGCAACAACCATCCAAAAATTCTTTTCGAACTTTACAATACAGCCCAAATTCTGAGCTACTAAGTCTGTAAAATAATTCTTTTGCCTGTATAATATGACGTTTTGCTTCCTGATATTCTTCTTTCAATAAATGAAATCTAGCCAGATCATAATGTATCTAACAAGAAACCAAATATTGAAGGAACGAGTAACAACAAAATAATATAAATTAATATATTACAAAATTAATACCTGACACTTAAATTCATCCAAATTAATAGAGTACATATTCTCCCAGTTCTGTTTAATCTCTGTGCTGTCTTCAGTTAACATTTGGAAGGTATCAATAGATAAAATTTTTGGATTCAAGTCTTCCATTTCCACGACATTATTTAAGACATTTACACTGGTGGGCACATGTGCTTCTAATTTTCTAACTATATCATCTACAACTCCTGGTGGTACATAAGTTGATTCTTGAATACCTGGACTGATGCCGAATATAAAATACATGTAGGAAAGAAATAATTGAAGAGACATCCCCAATTAAATGAATGTTTAAGATCTTACATATGAAGAAATTGTTGCTTTGACTGTTTGTTATTTAAGGCTCTATAAATAATTGCTCTGATGTGCCATCTATGATACAAAACCACTGTAAATAAGGTCTGATTAGATATTGTCTGCATAGAAAATTCAGGTAGAGCAGGTATTTCCACGGTTATATCTGATGTTATATAAATAAGATCCTGAAGTAACGTTATTTGTATCGGTAAAGGTAGCTTTTTCTCTAGAATGTCCAAATCCCATTTTAAGTGGGTGGCTACTTTCAAAGATAGAATCTTTAGTGCAAGATTTCTGTGGGTCCATTTGTTTGTAGCAGAAGGCTTCGCTTCACTTGATTCTGCATCAATAATTTTTACTTCATTGTCCTTTTGATCAGAATTTATTGTCATGAATTTAATTATCAAATCTGTAGCCGAGGGATCTATAACGATTATGAGAGTGCATTTAGAATGACAACTTCATTAAATACTTAATAGTATTTACTTGAAATGTGACAATTAAGGTTAGATTATTATTTACCAGGAAAAGGTTTAGATAAATGTTGCTGCAATAAGGATGGATTCAATAAGAATTCGAACCAAAGGATCGTGTCTGGTGAAATCGGCACTGTGCCTGGTCTTAATAAATCCACATCCATCATAACATCGTTTTTAACTCCTATACAACAAAGTTGGAAAAACTGGGAAAAGCTACAATGATCATCACCTGGTTTTTAAACTGAGAAAGTTTTTAACTGTCGCTTGTTTGATAAAGAAGAAGATGC